AGAAAGAAAGAAAGAAAGAAAGAAAGAAAGAAAGAAAGAAAGAAAGAAAGAAAGAAAGAAAGAAAGAAAGAAAGAAAAGAAGAAAGAAATCTGGTCCTAGCCTTCCGTCCTTTTAAGCACTGTCTTCTGTTGCCCTGTTCAAAATCCTTAGTCTGGTATATCGCACGCTCTGACATGCCTCTTTCTGCTTGTGCAGCCTCAACTCCACCCACCCTATGTGATAGCCCCATTAAATTACATGTTGTTTGCTTCGCACTGTCATTATTTATGCTTCTGCTCTTCCCTCTACAAGAATGTATTTCCTTAATGGCTCTAAATGGTAAACCACTAGCTCTGTTTGAAGAATCTGCTAAATACTACCTCTAACAAGGTGTCTCCCCACTCCTCTAGGAAATTAAGCACTTTCTCCCTCTAGAGAAGACCTAATGCACCTATATTAGGTGCCTATTACACATTATTTATACATCTTCCCCAGAGACTGTATATCTTCCCCATTCAGTGACAGTGGCTGTTATAATTTTTTTCTTTCTCCAGGTCCCAGAATCTGTCATGATATGGTTTTTTAAACTATGGGTAATCATTTATTAACAGGACATAAAATCAATTTAGTGGATCAAGACCAACTTTTTTCCTAAAATAAAAATAGAATAGATCAGAATGCTTCTCATGTACTAAGGATAAGTTTGTTCATTAAACTTTACTCATATTTATATGGTTTATATGTGTGTATATATATGTTTTACATATGTATATATATATATTTATTTATGTTTATGTATCCTGAATCTTAATGTAAAATGCCTTTATGACTGTCAATTACAATTTTAAAAAGTTTAAAAGCTTCCTAGTTGGAATATAGACTTGATTTCTATAATAAAGGCTCTTAAAAAATAATGGCTTAAGATGATAAAAGTTTACACCCATGTTCATAGCAGCTTTATTCACAGTAGCCAAGAGGTGGAAGTAACCGAAGTATCCATTGATGGTCAAATAGATAAAGAAAATGTGCACTATAATAGAATATCATTCAGCCTTAAAAAGGAAGGAAATTCTAACACATGCTACAATATGAATGAACCTTGAAGACATTATGCTAAGTGAAATAAGCCAGACACAAAAGGACTAATACTGTATGATTCCATTTATATGAAGTATCGGGTAGTCAAATTCATAGAAACATCAAGTAGAAGGGTCATTGCCAGAGGCTGGGGAATATGGGGAAATGAAAAGTTATTGTTTAATGAATGTAGAATTTCAGTTTTACATGATAAAAAAGTTCTGCAGATTGGTTACATAATAATGTGAATATACTTAACTATTAAACTGTATACTTTAAAAAAGTTAACCTGCTAAATTTATGTTATGTGTATCTTATCACTATTAAAATTTTTTTAAACGGACAGCAAAAATAAGAAGATAGAAGTTTATTTCTCACTCAGGTCAAAAATTTAAATGGGTTCTGCAGAGTCCCGTTTAAATTTTTGACCTGAGAAATAACTTTTTTTAAGTGTACAGTTTAATAGTGTTTAAGTGTACTCACATTATTATGCAGTCAACCTGCAGAGCGTTTTTATCATGCAAATCTGAACAATGCATTGCTCTGTTATGTCTAAAATGATGCCCTTGTTGGCACTCTCAAAGATGGCTTCTCACTAAGGCTGTTTTTCCACTGACAGAAAGGGAAGAAGGGGAAGGAAGCACACACCCTTTCTTTAAGGGCCCGTTCCAAGGATAATGAGTCTGTAGAGCCGACTGTAATTTTAGCCATTTCCATTCTGTTGTTCCATTCCTTAGCTTAACCAGGCTCGAGGAAAGTTGTAGAATAATAGAATAACAGAACTTTCTCTTCTTTTCCAGAAAAAGTACATGCTGAGATCGACAGAGTGATTGGCCAGTCACAGCAGCCAAGCACAGATGATCGAGAGTCCATGCCCTACACCAATGCCGTCATCCATGAGGTGCAGAGAATGGGAGATATCATCCCCATGAATGTACCCAGGGAAGTGACAGCTGATACCACTCTGGGTGGATACCACCTACGCAAGGTAAGTGGGGATTCTCAGCCTCAGATCTTCAAGCTCATCTTTTCAACAGTACAAATCTGAACTTGAAAAGTAACATGGTATCCTTGTCCTAGCGAATCACTTAAATGGGGAGAGAGCCATGTGTAATACTAGTTTTCTTTTCCTCCTTGTGTGGCCTTTAGAACAGTAGTTCAGCTAGATATTAATAGTTATGGAGGGGAAGGGGAATGTTAGGTTAAATATGTTTAGGCAAAGATTGGCTTTTCTTTGCTGTGGGATTTCTCGGTGTTTTTACAATTAATGTGTATTGTGAATCTTTGTGAAGATACAGCAGACAGCAGTTCTTAGTTAGACTTTGCCATGGAATTTTTTTCTTTGCCTTGATAGAGCATCTTACAGGGCTAGGGACCTGCCAGAATTTGAAAATAAATCTGCTTCACAATCTTGGGGTTATAAAATATTAAAATATGAAGGGACAGTTGAGACCACCTGGGCCAACATCACATCAGTGCTGGTGTTTCTCACATACTATCCCCACAGGTATTTTTCTAGCTCTTACTTACAGCCCTGTGATGGAACTATCTCGTAAGAAACCAATCCAAGGAGAGAAAGGAACCAACGCTTATTAAGCAATATTATGTGCCATAGACTACATAGGTTCTTTCAAAATGTCTTAATTAGTCCCCAGAGTGTCATTTCTATTTTATAAATTGGAAATAAAGGCTCAGAGCGATTCAGCTTGCATAAGATCTCTCAACGACAGAGTGACAAGAACTGAGTTCCAGATTACCAGGCTCATCTTTTTTTGAACTACACCATGTTCTCTACACAGGAGTTACTTTACTTTGACTTTAAAAGAGTCTCCTTGCAATTGTTCTCAGTTGGTCCATTTCAAGTCCATGTCCTCAACAAAGGAAATTCCTATCTCTAGAGGCCCAAGGGTCTCATGATCTAAGCACACGGCTCTCCTGTGTCCCCTAGTGTCCTCTCTGTACACTGCATATTTACATTTCCCGCACTTTCTCATTACCCACGTGGCCAGCCCCTGTGGAGCCATTCCAGTTTGTCTGTTTCTCTGCATGTGTCATACTTGGAGACGATCTCAAGAGGCAGAACCAGAGGTGCTGTCAGCATTTTTCTAGCAATTCATTTAGCTCCAGAGAATCAGTGCAGCTCACTCATTCTACCTCTGATTTTTAACTTCGACTTTAATACTCATGCTGGGAACTAAGAGATCTAATTGACTATGTTGTAGAAGCTAGGAGCCATGGCTTTCATGTCAAATAGACCTAGTTCAAATCATGACTCTACCTCCTCCCATTATGTGACTCTGGGCACATTATTTAACCTCTCAGAGCTTCGATTTTTTTTATTTGCGAAATGCATTTAAACCTCCCTTACAGATGGAGATAAAATAAGGTCGGACGTGTAGAACATTTAATCTAGTACTAAATATAGAAAGTGCTTTAAATAGTAGTTATTATTTTTTATTAATTCAACAAATGTTCGTTAAGCACCTAAAATGCTCAAGTCGAGAAAGAAACCATGATAACTCCCCAAGGGAAAAAATTCATTGGTTTCTATAAAGAGGAAGGCTGGCCAGAATGGGGAGTAAGAGCAGGAGTGGTCACAGAAGGCTTTCAAGGTAAGCGAGGTTGGAGCTGCGGATAACAGAATGGTTAAGAGTTAGCTCAGTGACAAAATAAGGAGGAAACATATTCCAGACACTGTAAACAACATTTAAAAAGGCATGGAAATGAGTGGTCACATAGCATGTTTGAAAAACCGAGAGAGAGCCAATGTAATGGGAGTGCAGGCAGAGAGAGTGTGGCCCAGACAGGGGTCAGACAATGGGTCGATCGGTCACCTAAGAGTGATGGGAAGCTATTGAAGGGTATCAAGTTCAAGGTGTGGGTGCGTGGGTAGATGAGTGTGACATGATTAAATCATGTTCAAGGCTCACTCTGCTTTCAGAGTGTGGAACATTGAAAGGTGACAGAGAGGATATGAGGCATAGTTAGCTAACTATTATAGGAGTATTGAGAAGCAGGGTGGTAACCTGGACTAAGATGGCAACTGTGGACATAGAATGGAGGTGACAGAATCAAAAGAAATTTAAAGTAAAAACCAGCCTCACTGAAGGATTAAGTAAAGGCACAATGAGTGAAAGAGAAGCTTTAAGGAGAACTCTTGGGTTTCTTCCTGTATAAGTGTATAGACAGTGGCTTTTTTTATTGATCAACCTGATTCTATTATTAAACCTCTTGTGCAGTGTAGTAGACAGTGGAGGAGAAAAAAAATGGGAGAAACGGGTCAATAAGAAGTCTTATACTTTGGTAAAGCTGCTGTAGTTATCACTTCACTGAGCAGCCAGGTTGATTTTGGTATAGTACTGACTGGCAAGCTGTTATGTTATTCTCTCACTGATGCATACGTGTCTCCTCCCAAGTCCTACACTGACTTGTCCCTATAAAGAAGATCCATGCCGCAGTCAAGAGTAGCCACACTTCCGTAATAAAATTCCCAGCAGGCAATTCGAGTCCATCATTGTAAGTTATCCCATGGCAAAGAGCAGGGCCTTGGGGGAGGTGTGGTTTGGGCTCAAAAGACAGTGGGTTGGAAAGGGTGAGGATATGGTCAAGCCCTGGCTTGGGAGCAGGGGACTGCCACCCTTCTGCATAAGTGTGTCGTGCAGGTCAACCATTGCCTGAGTTTTTGCTGCCTTTTCTAGGGAACCGCGATCCTGACCAATCTGACTGCACTACACAAGGACCCCACAGAGTGGGCTACCCCTGACACATTCAATCCAGAGCATTTTCTGGAGAATGGACAGTTTAAAAAAAGGGAAGCCTTTCTGCCTTTCTCAGTAGGTGAGTTGCGTGTGTGAATCCAGAGTTCTTCTCTAGGCCCTTCCCTGATGAGTGTGTGAATCCAGAGTTCCTCTCTAGGCCCTTCCCTGCTCTTCTCCCTGTCATCTTTTGTTTTCATTAGAATGTCTCCAGAGAGCCCTGCCCAGTGTGAATCTGTGACTGTGCTTTCTCCTCGAGATTCCCTGGGGACAGAAACTCAGATCTCATGCCTCTTGCTCACAAAGAAGACTGGACACTTGCCATGTTTATAGTTTTTAAATGTCCCAAGCTTTTTTTTCACAGAACTAAAAGTCAGTTTAGAATAAGGAGATGAGATGGGGGAAGGAATGGAGCTGCTTGCTTGTCATTATTATCATCAGGAGTGACTCAATGCTATGGCTTGAGTGGATGGGATTCTACTCTATAAGCAGTCCCCAAAGAGGTCCTTTTGCCTTTTATAATTTTAATTATGATTTTAAAATCAAGTTAATATGTTTACATGGTAGACAACTTGAAAGGTATAAGAGGGCACTGTGAAAAAACTCTCGTGTTTCCAAGCTAGCCAGTTCCAAAGGGGTGTTTTAACTCATAACATTGTAAAATGAATAACAAAAATTCTTAGTATATTGCTTAGTATTGACTAAAGTATGTTTCATAAATTATTTTGAGTAATTTCCCGATCCCTTAGTTCTATAAACATTAATCCTGAGTATCTATTATGTGCCAAGCATTCAGCCCTGAGGACATGACAATGAATGAAGCAAGAGGAAAAAAAAAATACTGTTCTCATGGAGCATGTGTTCTAGTGTAACCTTACAAGGTTTAAATCACTGTCAACACTTTAAAGGTAACCAGACTGAGGCTTAGAGGGGTTAACTACGGCATTTTTGCATCTCTGGTCTTTTTATACTTTTATTTTTTACATTTTTTTCTTTTTGCATTGAATATGTGTTATTTAGGGAGAAAATAAGTTATTGCACATGGAGGAGAGTTGGTGGTAGTGACTAATGTGGAATGTGTATAGCCCACGTAGGGTGGGAAAGGAATTAGCAAAGGGGAGGGGATGGCAGAAGCTTAGAGTGGGCATCAGTGCATGAGCAAGATGAGGCAGGATCTGCATGGGTTGCTTGAGGCAGTGATGGGAAACAAGTTATAAAAACGAGATACTGAGCCAATAAGTAAACATACTGAGGATAATGAGAGGAAGTTACAAATAGGGAAAGGGAGGTAACAGAATGAACTCTGTGTTATTGGATTGGAAAGGGAGGTTATCTCTATGAATTCAGATTTTTATTAGGTAGGCAGGTAAGTAGGTAGATATAGAAATAAATATGGATGTATATATACATTTAAATATATACTCACATTGTATACATACATAGATTCCCCAGCTTTACCCTGGGAGAAATGCCCTGGGAGCAACACCGCCTTGGTACCAATGAGCATGTCTAATGCCCAGTTTTTAGTTCCTGGATATCATTATCCACTAAAGAGACTAGGACTTTTGGGAAAATGGTTGATGCCAGGGCTGAGGAAGGGAAAGCATAAGATGAGCTTGAAACATATTTTTGTGCCCCAAAGTAAAGAAATACCAGCTTGAATGGGCATTTACTAGCCAAATCTGGAATATCTTTAGCATCAAAACAAATAACAGATTATAATCCTTTGAATAAGAATAAGAATCTATGAATTCATACTGATATAAATGAGTGAATAAGTAAAATGAGGAGGAGAGAAAGAATTTCCTTTAGTAGAATGCTAATAAATGTGGAAGGAATGACGACATTTTAAAACTCACAATTTGGCAGCTACTAGAGTAATAAATAATTTGGCCAAGAAATAGCAATGGAAACTAGCTCAAGGAAGAACATGAGAAACATTTACCAAATAATTAGCCTGTCATCTTCAAAAATGCCAAAGTGATACAAGTTGAAGAGTCACTTGCATGACAGCCAAATGCAATCTGTGATACTAAACTGGGTCCTCAAAAGGACATTATTGGGACAACTGGCAAAACTTGATTGAGATCTGCGAAGAAGATGGTGGTAATTTCCTGACTGGGTGATTATAGTGTGGTTATGTCAAAGAATGTCCTTCTTTGAGGGTATGCATACTGAAGATTTCATGGGTGATGTAGGCAATTTATGCTCAAATAACTCAGAAAAGATAAGTTTTTGTATTATTCTTACAACTTTTCTGCACATTTGAAATTTCAGAATTAAAAGCACGATATGGAAAGTATCACAGTAAAGAATTATAATAAATAGAAAGTTATTTTAGTAATGCTACCTCCCAAAAAACTTTATTTAAAGGTAGTCTTTTAAATTGTATTCTGTGGTTTTTTTTAATAATTAACCTGATGAAGTTAAGGATAAGCTGTTTTATAGCTAGAATGTTTATTATTATCCAGAAGATGTGTTAAAATACTTCGTTTTGATGTGTACATTATTAAATTATTTGGATTCGGTATGTAGCTCATATAATATATAAAATAAAGTTCCCATCTTAAATATACTCATTTCCACTAATGCCTTAGAGAGGTTACTTAATTTGCCCTGAATCACATGGCTATAAAGTGGGAAGAGTTGAATTGGATCTCTGCCCTTCTGCCTCTGTTTCTGGACTCATACAACAAGGAGTGGGATGTGGCCAGGACAGGGCCAAGCATGAGCCATGGAGTCAAGGATCCAGCCTGGAGCCCCCACATTCGAAGCAAAGGCCTTTCTTGGGGAAGGACTGCCACGTATGTGGACAATTCAAGGTGGGAGGCTGAAGCAGTTCCAATGTAGAGAGCCATCCATGTCAGTGAGGTCCCCAGTCATTAAGGAGGAAAACATGACATAGGAGAAGGATGCTTTGTACTTTAGAAACTGCTCTGACATTTACTAACTTATACTTTTGGACCATTTACTTTTAAAGACTGAAAAAAGTTAGCATTGAGTTTTGTTTTCCACTTTCATCAGTTGTTTGTTAAATGATTTTTGAGAAGCTTTAGGCTAGACATCCACTTTCTAGGTCAGCCCAGGCCTCTTACTTCTATTGCCCTATAATCTGCACCTTCACCCCTGAGCCTCACTTGCCTGACCCCCGAAGGCATTGGAGTTTGTGAGTCCAGATTTATGTTTTCTGTGCTTTGCTTACTTAAGCCAGGTGGTTGTCAGATTAAATGTTATTCTGTGCAAAAAGCCCCAGGGCCTAGTAGACCCTTCCTTCGTTCAGGTTTTAGGAGATGTGATAGAAGATTTTAGTCCCTGCTGGGCGTCAGCACCAACCTCATCTTATATTTTTGTCTTTCAGGAAAGAGGGTATGCCTTGGAGAACAGTTGGCCAGGACTGAGCTGTTTATTTTTTTCGTTTCCCTTTTGCAAAAATTTACTTTTAAGCCCCCAAACAATGAGAAGCTGAGCCTGAAATTCAGAGTGGGGCTTACCGTCTCCCCAACCAGCTACCGCATCTGTGCTATTCCTCGGACATAAAGGTGTTGGGGAAGGAGAGGGGACAGGAAAGCAAGAAGAATTAGCATATCCTCCGAAGACACAGGTGCCTGCTCAGAAGTGAGGGAACAGAATGAAAGGGGCTCTGAGGAAAGACTGTAGGAATTGGACTTAGAGGAAACTGGATCCAAATCCAGCTTTGTTACTTCCTCCAATGTAGCCTTGAGCAAATCATGCATCTTATGATTGACCTTTTCATCCAGGAGATGAAAAGAAGATAATGATTCCTTCTCTAAAGGAATAATTGCTGTAAGAATCACAGGAAATAATGGATTTTAAGTAATTTGGAAACCATAAAGCACAAAATAAAAGTTATAACTGTAATCTGCCTCTTTCCTGCTTCCTTCCTCAGACATGAATATACTTCTGGCCTGTTGAGACAGCTCAGGTCAAAGTCACACCATATGGTTGATAAGAGTTGGAACTGAACCCTAGTGGGGCAGCCGCAGAGGTTCGCCATAAAGACTCTCACACTTGGTAGCATTGTGCAAGCGTTATTTTGCTTCTGCCTCAGAATTGTCCTCTGGGAAGGATACAATTTATATAACTCTATGAATGAGCTAATATAGCTCCCCTGTGCACACCAGTTTTAGAACTGTAAGGTTTCCAGGTGAGATAGGTGGAGGTGCGGCCAACTCTCCACTCAGCACCCTGTGCTCCCTCCTCCAAGACCATCCTCTACCCTTCTCACTTCTCCCACCCCCATTCTACCAGCACCTTCCTTGTGCAGTGTCCTTGATAGGGACAGGGCTTTTAGCTAATGTCCCTCTCCCACTCGGGCATCTGCCAATTCAGCTCCCCTTATGCCATATCACCCCTTCAGGCAGTCCTTTTGTGGAGATCCAAGATGACTCCAGGCTGGCTGTGCCACGGGGTCCATACTAAGTCCCACGCATTTGTCATATTATGAGTGTCAGTGCAGTTTCCTCCCCAAAGAACCCTCTCTCCTTAGCTGCTACCACAGTCAACCTCACCAACCTCTTGCCTGTAGGAATTTTCCATATTCCATGTGGCATTGGTTCTCGGTACCCCATGGACTCTACAAAGCACAGATAAATTCCTTTTGGCTTGAAGCCTCTCACCTGGTGCGGGAAAATTATACCTCCCCTCTTCTTTGTGAGGGATGGGTAAGAAATAAGGAGGACTCTCTTGTCAAAGAAAACCAGGGCTAAACATTTGTAAAGTGGCAGGAACAGATTTTATTCAGGATTATTGCAATATGAGAAAAAAGATTTCGATATAGGACTGGGCTCAATTCTGAATACAGCAAGGACAAGTTGGGATTTGCAGACAGAGCACAGGGTGGGGCGTTAGGGGATGGAAGTATTTACTTCCAGGAAGTATTAGGAGTAAGGGGAGATTCTGGCTAAACCGACTTGGCAGGATTCTTTCTGAAGGCTGGTCAAGGTGATTAGATATTGGGGGTGGAGTGGAGAGGGTTCTCTCTAAACTTACTCAACATGATTGTTGCTACAAGTTGCAAGCCTGGTAAGGACAGATACCAAGGTCTTGGCCTAGAGGACTTCGAGGAGCCTGACTAAAGTTTTTTCTAGGAGAGAGTCTTTCTCATTCCTTACCACAAAAGTCTCCTCTCTCTCTTTTCCCATAGTCCTCAACTATTATATACCTTCTATATAGGCAATGGGCTACAAGAGTCACAAAGTTTTCAGCTGCCCTGTGACAAGACTCACATGGGGTTTCAAGTGCCTGACTTTAGAATTGTGGGCTTCACCAGCACTTGGCATGTACTGTTGACTTGCAGCCTTTGGGACTCCAGCTGAAAAGGAGAAGGGAAGAACCCCATTTCCATATCCTGTTACAAACATAATATCTGGACTCACATAAATGTTAAATATCTCTTCCTGTGTTGAATGAAAGTTTAGAGGAATGACCTGTAGGACACCTCAGAATTTTGCTTTTTCTCAACATCAGCACTGCGAACAGCATGGACAGGACAGGACTATAAATGTAGCAGAGATTGGGCCAAACCTTTACCGACCTGTGACATACTTTATGAAGGATAATTTGCTTTGTTTTAACTTTTACTCCATCGCATGTACACACTGGTATTTCTGCCATTTAGTCTCTGAAAGTAAAATTCTAAATATATTTGTAATGGAAAATGCTCCTTTATTTTATTCTGATTAGTTTTGGATGAATGGAGAGATCCTACAATATGGCTAATACGTTCACATTTTCTTACTTTGTAAAATCGCATTGCCCCAATATTCCCCCAATATCCACATACTATTGTGGTATCTTCCTAAATGTGGAAAAGCTGAACCTTAGAAATTGTTTTTTCTACTTGGAAAGAGTAGATGGAGCTGTATTTTGAAACCTCACACAGTATTTTCAAATCAACAATTATTTATTGAGCACATACCATGAGCCAGATATACAGTGATAAACAAGGGGAGGTACAGGGAGGGCTGTTCCTTCTCAGAGCTCACAGTCTAGTACTGGTGGTAGTAGGGAATGGAGCATTATAAATGTGCAAATAAATTTACAATAGTGGTTCCCACTCAGTAATGGGTACCAAAGCAAAAAATTCTCAAATATATATAGCCCATAACATCTTTCATCACTTTCGTCATTGTGTAATAACCTTCAGGGGGAGGGATGTGTGTTTTTTAAGTCCCCAGGTTGACTCCCCTCTTTGACCTCACCTCTTGAGAACAGATCGCTACATCGTGCCCTGGATTTCTCCATGTTTATTTATTTTTTTAATGTCACAGAATGTCTTTATTTTGCCTTCACTTTTGAAGAATAATTTCACCAGCTATAGAATTCTAGGTTAACAGGTTTTTTTGCTTTAGCACTTTGAAGATTTGTTCTATTGTTTTCTGGTTTACATTGTTTTCTGATGAAAAATCCACAATAATTTATGTCTTTGCTCTCCTAATTATTATGAGTCTTTAGTCCTCTGGTTGTTTTAAAGATTTGTCTTTATCATTACTCTTCAACAATTTGGTTATATGTCTTGATATAGTTTTCTTTATGTTTATCCTGATTAGAGTTCACTGAGCTTCTTGGATCTGTGAGTTTAATATATTTTTAAAATTTAGATATTTTGGTCATTATTTTCTCAAATATATTTTTATGAATTCCTCCTGCTCCCAATATTTCTGGGATTTTAATCACACACACATTAGACCCCTCAATATTGACCTACTGGATGCTGAGTTTCTGTTAATTTTATTCATCCTTTGTCCTCTCTGTCCTTCAGTTTGGGTAGTGTCTATTGCCTTATATTAAAGTCACTCTCCCCTTTTTCTTATTTCTGAAGTGGCTAATCTGCCAGTATGTCATTTATTATTTTTTCATGTATTTTATTTTTCTGCTCTAGAAATATCACTTGATTTTTATTTTTAGAATTTTTATGTGTTCCTTTAAATACTTGAATATGTTTATAACACCCACTTAAAGGTTTTTGTCTGATAATTTCATTTCTGTCATTTTTATATCTGTTTTTATTAACTTTTCTCCTGGTTATAGGTCACATATTCCCACTTTATATCTCTAGTAATTATGGATTGACTATATAAAATTTTCATTGTAGAGTGTTTGAATTATGTTGTTCGCTTTTAAAGAGGGTCAAGTTTTGTTTTAACAGGCAGTTAATTTACCTGTAGAACATCTTGATTCTTTTGAGGCTTGTTTTAAAGCTTTGTTAGAGTGGGGCTAGAGTAGGCTTCATTCTAGGGCTCCTGAAGAATGACCTTTCTGGGGCCTCTCCTGGTCACCTGAGGTGTTCAGCATGGTCTCTCCACTCTGTTTGGAATTCTAATAATTCCAACTATGTAAAAGTCATGGCAGTCATTAAGCTGGGAGCTCTCTCTAGTTTTTTTTTGTTTTTGTTTTGTTGTGTTTTGTTTTAATCCCTGGTAGATGATCTTTGCCCAGCCTCATGAAGTCTCACTCTATACATGCAAAATTTAGTATTTGGCTGGTCTCTCTGAATATCTGTGCAACTCTTTCTTGGCATAACTTCCCCCTTTCTGATTTTTCCAGCCATATCAGTCACCCCCAATGCAAATTCATGTTTTCTCATCTTAGCAAGAGGAGACTACTGTGTTGTGATTGTTTCCCCTTCTTTTAATGGGGTCAAGTAAATGCTCCAGGCAGAAAGCCAGAGAAATTTCAGAGTTCATCACGTTTGTTCTTTACTCTTGGGGTTCACAGTTTTGAACTGTCAGTTTTTCAATATCTAAAAACTTATTTTTTACATTGCCTATTTTTCTGGTTGTTTATCGTAGAAGGGCTAGTTTCATCACCCTGTTTAGCTATTATGGAACTGAAGATTAACTGAGAACAATATTCATTTACCAAAATGGTCACAGTAATGCCCCTCTCTGTATTTACATCCCTTTCGGTGTAACTTTACAACTTCTCAAAAAATAGAGTCTATTTACATTCTCCTTTACTTTGGGCTAGCCTGCTGACCAGTTTTGGCCAATAGCATATGACAAAATTACTTTTCTGAGACCCTGCATGCTTCTGTTCTTTTGGAATTCTGCTACCAACATTTAAACAAGCCCATGTTACCCTGTTGGATGATGATAAACACATACCCTAGTTATTCCTTTCACATTGCCCTAGATGACAGCTGGCCAACCACCAGAGCTGTGCATAAGAACAATTGAGATGAGCTAGACCCAAGTATATCCAATAGCTGAATTCAGATGCATGAATGATCCCAGCTGAGACAAGAACTGCCCAACTGAATCCAGCCTAAATTTTTAACCTTTGATTTGTGAGTTAAATGGTTATTGTTTTAAGCCACTACATTTTGAGGTGTATTGTGATACAACAATAGTTAACTACTACATTCCTTGAGGGCAGAAAAAGTAACTTTCTTATTTAATATCAAGAACAATGCCTGGAATGCGGTAAGGCTCAATAAATGAATAAATAAAATAAGGTAGAATCATTGTGGACTGGTGCTAGACTGGACCTATCAACCCAAATCAGATCTCTGCCACTACTC